CGACTTAGCCCTTTTTCGATTGTCCCTTTTTAGCCCTCCTTTTATAAACTTTTAACATTTTATCCCCTTGAACTAATTTATCCCGATCCTTATCAAGGGTTATGTAACAATTAAGAGGCTTAATTTTTTTTGCCAAACACTCCTTACCTCTTACCGATTAAGAGGTTGGCTCTTAATGGTGACATTAAGAGCCAAACAAACAGCCCCTGAGTCTTATCCAGTAAGTGAGGATGACGACTCTTTATCAGTTTAGCCTTGCCGGGTAATTTGTTGCATAAGATGCAATTTTGATGGAGTAGAATCTTACCTGGTAAGGCAAGTGGAAGTGTCAGACTCTTACTGGTACCCTTTTACGTTCTGACCACTAGACCCTACTTTCAAGTTTTTTTTTGGGGGGGGGGGGTTTACAAGTTGAAAGGTTGCTTTGAAGGCTAGAGGCAAGTACGACAACTACAATAAGTCCGTCACTTGATACATATATCATAATTGAGCCACGGTTAAACCACCTAATAATGGCTAATCATGTGCGAACCACGAGAAGCTTACAAACCCGTAAAAACCATTATCAATGTAATTCACATGATTTTTTATTCTAGTAAGGCTATAGTTTAAGTATTGTTTCACAATATGAAACTTTTTTATGTCTATTTTTTGATTCACGATGTGTAACCACACCTGGTTCACCAGCTCTGAGCTCTCAACCTTTTTAAGGTTCTCATTTGATTATGTCCTTATATATACACACACATAAAAAATTTCAGGTGCAAACTGTTTTCTGTTGTGAACCAGGGGACAAAGGAGAGGTTGAAATGTGTCCCCATTTGTGCCCATTCATCATGAATAATGAACATAAATTTTTATAGCATTCATGATGAATGATACTACCATTCATGATGAATATCACATGAATGTCTAGAACACATGGTGTGCCCTCTTTTGTCCCTCGATTAACAAGGGAACTTAGTTGAACTTGCCCCTATATATATACATATATATATATAGATAGAGGGAGAGAGAGAGTGACAGACCTTTCACAAGTAAACAAGGATGGATCAACCGGCATCCCCAGTGCCTCAGAAGACGCGGCAAAATGGTGACCAAAGAACGCACCCAATGAAGGTATGGAAGCATCATGAGTAGCCCACATTGCAAGGTTCTTTATATGTTGTAACTTTAACGAAGACTTGACATTTGTATGTTTCTTCCCTGTTGAAGCTTCTCTTATTGTAACCGACATTTGAGGACCAGAAGTTGTTGCAGGAAGCGCTTTCTTGTTCGATCCTTTCTTTCCCATGCTTCTACTGTTTTCTTAACGAACGTTTTCTTCAAGAATAAAACAGTTAGAAGCAATAATAACGATCAAGAAACAAAATAAGAGTTGAAGTCGGAAATCAAGAAACAAAAGACAAAGGCGGGCACCTATTAATCCCCAAGTGACCAAGAATGGCCTGGAGTCCAGAGGCAGACCCAGAATATTTTTTAAGTGATGGCACTTTTTAACAATTAAAAAAATATCTATAGAAAAATTTCACAATATTAGTATGGATCTGTTGGTTGATTTCTTGTCCCTCGACAAAAGAAATCCACATTCAAGTCCTGCCTACATATTTTTTTGAAAACACAAGAGGTATATAAGAAACACACGTATTTAAGCTAAAAATCAACAAATTTGACACCAATTAGACTCGAACCCGCGCCTTTTGTACAAAGGTAGAAGCATCAACCATGTCTGCCATCAAAGTGTTGTGCTTAAATTTCAGTTTCAAAAACTATATGGTGGCACCCAAGAAAATAATCCGGTGGCATCCTTAAACGTACTTTGAACCCTTACAACAGAACCATGAAGTGGTGGCCCGTGCCACCATATCAATCAATGCAGGTTCGCGTGTGCTAGAGTCATCGCAGGTAAACCTCCATAGCTACAAGGGCTTTGACAGTGCCCGGATTCTAAACCAGTGAAGATGAGATTTTCACTACATACCCTGAGCCTTAACCAATGTGCCAGAACCCAAGTGGTTTGGTCGGATTGGTTTGAATGCAGCTACTTCAACTACTTGTTTTGTAATTTCCAAATGTTGATTATTTCTAAGCATATAAATATTTATATACAATGACCCTTTGGTTCCGATTGTTGATCGTTGGGTCCAATGTCCTATAATCTCACTAGCATGACTCATTAACCTTATTACCAACACGTTGACGATTGAATACCCATGGTACTACCGTGGTACGGGACTTCGATTACCATTTATACATGGTACAGCGTTCAGGGGCAGACCTATTAGATCCGAAGAGGAGTCCAGTGCACCCGCTCAATCTTATTTAAGAAACAAAATCTTGGAGTACGAAATGTGTACCAGCTAAAAGTTGAGAGGTGCTCTGGTGTATTAGAAAATACAACAAACATAAACCAACAATTAACAAATGGTAGATTGGCAGCAAAAGGCATGTATTTCAATTAGGATTTAGGCATACATGATACATTAACATTATACATACAGACATACAGTGAATCAGTGATACAGTAACAGTACTAGAAACACAAATGAACAAACCACAAAGGACCAATTTCACAGCTTCATACTTAAGTTTTGCAATCAAACAAGAATTAGAAACATAAATAATAGAATAAGTAAAGTAAATAACCCTAACCTCACAGGTCACAAGATGCGAGAGCCGGTCGATAGTCAGAGACTCGAGAGAGGCAGAGAGCGAGAGCCGATTGAGTCAAGGCCGATTGCGATTTCGATTCCGTGAATCGTGAATTGGTTCCTTCTCGTGAGTTCGTCCGTGAGCGAGGCGAGAGGGCGAGGTTGGACGAATTTAATGAAGCCGATTGAGATTGAGATTGAGATTTCAGTGGACTGTTAACATTATTTTGAGGCCCAACCACTCACAATATACATATTTTGATAAAATTTATATAGTGTATATTTATCAATTAATACACACTATAAAATATCAATTATGTAGTTTTCAAAGAGTTTTTCGTGAGACCCGTAATACCAATTCTCAACCTTTAGATTAGATCTACAATTTAACAATCTGAACATTCATAAACGCCGCAAGACTTCTCAATAATCACAAAATTGTCACCGTGCAATTTTAGACCATTAAATCATTAGCTTATAAAATTGATCAATGAACATAAATTAGTCTTACGGGTCTCATAGAAAACTCTTAGGTGGCGTTTGTTTTTTAAGAGGTGCTAAAGTCTTAAGTCTGATTTCACTTCTGATTTTTAAGAGGTGGTGCTGAAATCTGAAATCTGAATCAGTCAGACTGTTTGTTTTTGTAAATTGACAAACGTCTGAAGTCTGAAATCTGAATCAATGGTTTGCTTTTGTAACCAACAAAACATATGAATATGTATAATTTTTTATTTCACTTCTGTTTATATTCCCAATATTCCTTTAATTCTTCCTTCTCCACATCAAGTCTTCCATCCTCAATCTCCACCCTCATCCCACCACCATCAACCACAGTCCACCACCACTCCTTCTCTAAAATCCAACGCCCAAATCTACCTTTAAAATCGAAGCAAATCTCCATCATGATGAAAACTACATGGACGAAAATACCTTGATTCACGAGGATAAAGGTGCACAACTACTGGTTTGCACAGGAACGAAAACACACAGTGGCGAAAATCCACAGAGAAGAAAACCCTCTTGATTTGGAACTGATTTGGGTCGATTTGAAGCCACCGGAGGCGATGGAGGGTGAAGTCAATCGATTGAGACGGTAAGGAGGGTGAAGTCGATCGAATGATGAAGTAGAAATTGGTTCTCTGGATAGTTTTTAGGATTAAGAGGAAAATAAGTGGTTAGGTTATCACTTAATTTTTAAGAGGAAAATAAGTGATAAGTGGCTCTGAAAGAAAAAGAAAAACAAACAATCTGAATTGTCTTATGTCTGACCGAATCAGACATAAGTGGTAAAATAAGAGTTCTTTTCAAAAAACAAACACCACATTAGTCTCACGTGAACCCAACCCTATATATATACATATTTTGAATACAAATTGGTATATTAATATAAACTTTGTAAATCAGCATCAGCTTTTCATTCAGTCTAATGAAAATCTCAGTTTTTTTGTAAGACAAGATATTGATCATAGTAAATGAACCATTATAATTTTCATAAATATCTCAATTAATTATGGGTTGTTTGACAGTTATTGAATGATTTGGTGTAGAATGATTGAGAAACTCTCATGATATAGTGTAAAATGAATTGTTTTGGTAATTATTTACAACAAGACTAGGATGTTGAATGGTTAAAAAAGACCCATGATACAAAACCATTCAGATAATTTTAAAACCATTAATAAACAAATTTTGTTACCAAACAAGATTCACTTTTTAACAATTTAGAAAATTTCTGAAACTATTTAATGATATATTTATGGGTATGGTTGTATCACATTTAAATCAAGAGGCAACACACATTTTTAAAGCAATTTAAATTTCCAACCAGAAAAACCATGCTAATTAGGAGGGGTTTGGTGACACTTCAATTTTTAAATTATTAATATGGGGTTTGATGGGATTGTGAAATGACAAAACTAGCCTTTGGCATATACATTACATGATGACATGTAGAAGGGTACATACGTCTTTTGACAAGTGGTGCCCTTTATGTTATTGTCCTAAAATCCTAGCCTCATTGAAGGGAGCAAAAAAGCAACCTTGCAAGTGAATGATTTAAACTTGCCTCCATTGCTTTACAAATTTTCAAATTCAACCTTCAAGTATGAAGATTGCCAATTAAATCCCTTAAAAAATAAATTTTTCACTTTTTGAACATGGACTTGTGATTACATTTCTCTGTCGCATGTAATTTTGCAAACCACGTTATTTGTACAAATCATATAAAGTTCATTCAACCAGTCATAATTTTTCATTTTGTTCAATTTTTTGTAATTATGAGAGGTTGATTAATCATTTTTATTTGTGCAATAAGTTAATCATGGATATTATCATATTCATTATATTGATTTTACATAAATACATGAAACAGTTTCATTAAAATTTTATAAGTATTATACGAAACAACTTCATAAAAAAAAGTATTATATGAAATAATTTCTCAAGATTAAACAATTTCATGAAAAATTTTCATAAGATTAACAATGAAATCGACGAATGAGAGTGGTTTGCATGGTTTGTATAAATATGAGTGACTTGCATTTGATCATTCCTCTCTCTCTCTCTCTCTTTCTTTCTCTCTCTCTCTCTCTCTCTCCCTGTATATATATATATATATATAGGGTTGGATTCACGTGAGACAAGACTATTTTTGTGAGACACGTTTTTTACATTTGAAACTTTACAACAAAATGTTGTGAAGGTAAAAAAAAGACGAATCTTCACAACAAAAACACTATGAAGGTTACATTCACAGTGTTTTGTTGTGAAGTTTCAAGTGTAAAAATCGTGTCTCACGAAAACAAGCTTGTATCACATGATCTCAAATCTCTCTCTCTCTGTATATATATGTATGCATGTGTGTCTACATATGCATGTATTTAGGCCATGCTTTTATGGTTTATTATATAATACTGGTTTATCACTAAATTATAAATTTTTATCAATGATCTTATTACTTATTTATTATTATTTTCTGCATCAATTTCACTATGAATTTAGAACTTATGCTAAAAAGTATATTGTAAAGTGTGTGTATATATATATATATAGATATCTATCTCTATATATACATAATATCATGTGTACGTTTGATTTTTATTTACTATAAGTTCAGCTAACAGAGGTTTCATACCAAAATATGACTCGATTAATTTTGTATTTTCAAAAGTAATATGCCTGTAAGATCCAAAACTGTCAAAATAAAATTTGCACAATCAAATCCTACGTTTCCATTTCTTAAACCATTCAAAAAAATAGTTTGTCTATGGCAGATCCATAAAACTCCACCGAATAAACGACATCATAAAATGAAGCGAAACAACAATCAAATGAAAATAAACAGATATACAATTGCTAAAATGCAGTTATTCACAATCATGACTAGATACATACAGACTAAAAAAAACCTATACCTACAACTTGTTTTTATACTGTCGTTGCAGCTTTTGTTTGATAACAGATATAAATATGTCTGATAAGAGTATATGATTTTTATTTTCATCTCTAAATCATAAAATTAATTTTTAGCAAACCAAGAAAAATTAAAACAAAAGGAGGGGGGTCTCATTTGTATATTTCTCAAATTATAGGGTGGCTAAGTGAGCATCTATCCAAACTTATAAAGGTGCAAAATGATGAATTTTGAGTCAAAGGAAACAAGATGCTTTTGGTGGTCATAACCACAAAGCATGGCATCTCTCTCTCTCTCTCTCCATTTGACAAAAGTATGAAAGACTGTGATACACACACATGTGTGTGTTTATATATTACAATATATATATATATATATATATATATGTGTGTATATATATATACAGAGAGAGAGAGATAGTGGTGTTAACAGTAGCAATATAACAATAGCCCTCTCTCTGCAACTATTTATCTACAATTCCCTTTTTGTGCTTTTCTGTTGTTTGATTAATTTGTAGCCATTGTTCTTTTTTTTTTAATTTTCTACCCACTATCCAGAATTCTTTTGTCTGAAATGTACTTCCCCTTTTGGGTTTAAGCCTTGATTTCAAGGGTTTTTGGGATCTTATTCAAATCTTTCATAATGGATATGCTTCAAAGCTGAAAAATTGGAAGAATGATCAAAGTTACGGTTCTTTTGATTTGTGGGTTTTGACGGTATTTGAAATGACTATTTTGGGCATGAGATTGAGATTGAGTTCAAGATATATTTGAAGATATGATTTATGGTTTCTTTTGAATTTGCTTTGGAATCACTTCATTGAGATCTGGTCACTGGTGGGACACTGCCATTTCCATCATCATTTGTGCTTTGTTTGGCTTGAAATGAAAGAGTGAGTATGAAGATATCTACTTTTTTGATTTATTTATGCTTCTTTATTCACCATGTATTCTACCTGTTTGATAAAATGTCTCAGAGAGATTTCCCAATTTGGTTTTTGGTATTTGGTGAAGGGTTCATGTTTGTTGGGATGGAAATTAGGGTTCTTAAATCTTTTCTGTTACTAGAGCCACATGCACTGCTTGAAATTGGCTGATGTGCCACATTCTTTATGCTTGTGCTTCGAGTGTAGATAGATCAAAGATTGAACAATGGGTTGAGTTCATCTTCAAATTTAGGAAAATGGGTAAATGGTTTTCATGATTCTGGTTTCTTTTGTTTGATTCTGATGTAGAACTGTTCATTTGAATTTTATGCTTGAAGATCTGTGCATACTTATCTTAGTTAGAACTGCTTGTAGATAGTGAATTAGTGGTGATTTGAACATGAAATTGAAGATGGGTATGAATCTTTTTTGCAGTTACAGTTTTTTAAAACCACAAATAACGCGATTCTCTTGAGTACTCTGCGCGATTTTGAAGTCAAATTGAAGGCATAAAAGTAGGGATGTTCATATAAACTGCCCCACTGCACCGCATCACAAAGTGTGGTTTAGAACTTCCTGGTGTGGTGTGCGATTTGCATTTTTACCAAATCGCACCACACTGTACATTTATATATATATATATGGGCAAAGGATCATGTGAGAAGGGAAGTTATAGCAAGAAGAGTAAGAAGAGATCTAAACTCTTGATTACTTTTAATCTCATGTCCACTCATGAATTGCGCTTTAGAAGGGAATTGATCCGTTGCATCTCGGTGCACCTCATTAGGATTGATCAAAGGATGGAGATTTCTTCTTACGCTTCTCACCATAACTTTCCTTCTCACTGGAATCCAACCCTTTATATGTATATATTTTTAATTTTATCCATAACACACATATATATAGACTAATTGCTAAATTTATATAGTATTTTTAATCTATTTTCTTTGTAGTCCATTAATAAGTCCAAAGCTTTCAATTTTGATTAATAATATTAATAAATTATAGCCTAATAATCCACTAGGATCTTGTAGGCTTTAATCAACATTGATGACAAGATTTCACCATTTTTTTTTCAAGTCTCTAACTTTTTACTTCTTAGATTATTTCTAATTTATGTAATATGTATTTGGAAACTGGACATGTTGAAACTTTGTATTCTTTGGGACTATGGTCACGTTATCGTTGATTTTATAATATTGGATTATAAGCGTAAAGTGTGTTAGGTACACACCACATTTTGCGGTGCAGTTTTTTCCGGTTTAAGGTGTATGCAGTTTGCTGTTTGGGAAAATGCTCAAAACCGCATATGCGGTGCGGTTTGCAATTTTGCCCCAAACCACACCGCGAACACCCCAATGTAAAAAGTTTGGTTTTTGATTAGATGATTACATGTTTTTCTAACTTATTTTTTGGTTATCTTTGCAGATTGTGAATATATAGGTAGATGGGTCAAGATTTAGAGCTGGATTTTGAGAAATATTGTGTTGTAGATGGAAGTCCGAAAACCGTTCTTCTATCTCCTCGTCATTCTAAAGTCGAAAAGAGAAAAGCTAGAAAGAAACCCAAATGTAGAAATGAAGTATTGTTGAGTCATATCAACGAATTTACAGAGATTAGTTTACATTGCTACCGGAGTGCATCATGTCGAGCTGGTCAGTCAACTAGGTCGGGAGTCGATGAAGCACGTAAAAGGGGTTCTGTATATCAAAGTTCGAAAGAAGTAGGTAAAATGGATAAGATCAGTGAGAAAGAATTCAAAGGGAGAAAAAAGATTGAATTTTCAAGAAGTGATGCTCCATTTCCGTTAGAAATATTTGATTCGTTGTGTAGTTCGGATGAGGATGATGGCTCGTTAGGCTCACTTTCGAGTTCGTTTCTAGAAATATCGCGGGATTCGATCAAGAAACAGACTTTGAACAAATCTTTGTCTTCTAGATTGGAACTTCCTCATTCTCCTACCAAATCAGAAAGCGATTCATCGAAAACTAATAGTCCGAGGACCCGTTTCAGCCCGTTCAGAAAGATGTTTGATCCGTTTGTGAAGTCAAAATCTCAGAAAAGCCCGTTAGGATCCGTTGCCAAAGAACCTGATCATGAAGCAACATCATCTAGACCGAATACTAGGAACATTACTTCAAGAAAATCTTTGATACAAGATTTCTCTAATGCGGATTGTGATTCAAGATTTCTCGAGAAAGATTCTTGTAGCTCGATTATGTCGTCCTTGTCTTCGTCTTCACCTGCTCACTTGAACGGGGTTCTGAAACTGGGAAACAAGAACCGGATGCCGTTTTTTGAATTCTCCGTAAAGAATCCAAACGATGTTTTGGTGGCAAAGACATGGAAAGTGGGAAATGGTTGCGATTGGGTGTATACCTTTCACACTTCTCAGAATCGACAAAAAGGGTTTAAAGATCACATGATGGTCGGCCAGATGCGGGTTTCTTGTTATTTATGTACAGAATTAGTAAACTCCGGAGCTTTCGATAACTCCATGCTCACCGAGTTTGTATTGTACGATCTTGCACGCCCAAAACAATCCGGTTCTCGAATACTCGATTGTTTAATTTCTAAAGAACACTCTCCAGACAAAACTTGTGAGTCAAACGACGTATTAGATCAAGAAAACGTTGATTTCCAACCTCGATTTGCAGCAGATTTGCCTCCGGATCTTGAAACTGCAGCCATTGTTATACAGTTTCCGTCTGAGAAAAGAGAGAGTTTGAAATACAACGGAGGAGACCAGAAACAAGGCGATTTGCTTACTTTTTCTAGAACGAAGCTAGAAAAGAACGAACCCGCTTCTGATTGCTCAAGTCCAGGAAAAGTGAGCGTTGTGATCTCTTCGGGAAACCACGGTGTTCCGAGTGAAGAAAGCCGTGGGCCCTCACCATTACTCGATCGATGGCGGCTAGGCGGAGGTTGCGATTGTGGAGGGTGGGATATGGGATGCCCTCTTGTTGTTTTTGGCAATTCTAATATTCAAAAAGAGGAAGCCTGCAAGCAGCCTGTTAAATTTTTCCTAAAGGTAAATAAAACTTACTTTCAGATTTTATAGTGTTGACCATCACTATCAAATGACTAATAGTTAAGGAGCTGCAAATTTTGTGATAGATTTAAGTTGACTGAATATGATGATAACATGTGCGTACAAGTAATTTGTAAGTAAGGAAACATCTCCGTTTACTTGTATGCACATATGCATACCGTACAGATGAACGATTATTGAGATGTTCCTATTTTTTTGGGGATTTCTTCTGAACCTGATTATATATATATAATATATAGACACACACACACACACACGTAGAAACCCCTTCTCACTATATGGGGTTCTTTTAAAGAGATTCAATGGGGTTTCACGTATCCTAACATGGTATCAGAGTCGGGTCTAGTACCATCTAAGACTCAACATACTCTTTTGCCTCCCTTTATGGGGGAAACGTTTGAGGGGGCGTGTTGGAGTACCACATCTGCTAGATACAGACCATCAAACCTGTATACATGTCAGAACCTCTCATCTCTCTCTAACGGTTCTTTTAGAAAGATTTAAACTTCAAAGAATTCCACATGTCCTAGAAATTGAATGTGATGATAGCATTGAAGTTCATATAAGATGCCACATATCACAAAAGTTTGTCAATTTTTGAATCTTGAAAGGAATAAGGGGTTGTTTGGTTGGTTTTCCATTAAGGGGATGTTTGTTTGGTTTTCCATTAAGTCATGTATGGATAAAGTTGTCTGTGTGGATTAATCTGTCGATATAGATTGGAAGGTTGTCTGAGAGGGTTTTTTCATAGATGGAAGGAGCGTATTTTTTAATTGAGAGAGGTTTGGAAAAAACTTGGCGTTCTGCATAAAGCTCCCACTTAGAAACTTACTGAATAAGTCACTTTCTATATCATTAAGCCACTATCAAACAGACATGTATAGCTGATGGAATAAGTTGCGAGTCTCGTTAAGCTCATTACACTGCTAAGAAACATGCGCTAAGTACTATATGGATAAAGCTAACTGTGTGGATTAATCTGTTTGTATAGATTGGAAGGGTTATTCATAGTTTGGCATTCACAAGTGTATCTATAGCCTGTATCTCTTTTTTCTAACGATCATGTATAAACAGGGAACTAAAGATAATACGCCAGCGTTAACCATGAAAATGGCCGAAGACGGGCAATATTTAGTCGATTTCCACGCACAGCTAACTTCACTACAGGCGTTCTCCATTTGTGTTGCAATCTTGCACAGTACAGAAGTGTCGGTAGTCGTTGCTCGTGATAAGGACCGAGAACGGTTGCAATGTGATTCTTTGCGAGTCTTTGTTGAGGACGAAGTCAAACACTTGATCGACGCCGTGGCAGAGGAGGACAAAAGAAAACCAGCCAAGAACGAAATCTCCCCTTCGTTTCTAGTCAACCCACCGTTTTCGCCAATGTCTCGTGCATGAAACCGAGACCAAACACGGGTAAAACCGACGCTCGAGAAAGTCAACTGTCGATAAGTCAAAGATTGATACAGGCAGATGTTTCATGTTGTTGGTGACTTGTGATGGGTTTTTTTTCTTCTTATTTTTGGGTATTTTATATGAGATTTTATGGAATTTGTTCCTAAAAAATGATTAGTTTTAGAAGAAATTTTTGTATCTCTCACTTTTGGATTTTGAAATTCAAATGTTTGGGATTTGTAATATAATGTGAAAAGCATGTATTATAAAAAATTATTTATTTATTTGTTTTTGGAACAGATATTTTTAGATGTCAATTCTGTATACATTTTATATATGGAGATAAAATCATAGTTCTAAATAACTCGTTATGACACGTGATAGCGTTAGGGCTTCGGTTTACCACCATGCTAATCCCTGTGGCTCCACTCCAAGGCTCGGCTTCCAACCACAAGGGTGGTGCTCAATTGGTTTGAGCTTGAACTCCAAAGGTCAAAAGTGTATGGAGGTCTCAGGTTCGAATCCAAGAAGGAATAAAAAAAAATTGTGGCTACGGAGGTTCAAATACGGTGACTTTCACGGGTGGTCGTCCTGTGATTAATGGGCTAACATAGCGGATTGAATATCAAAGTTAATAAAAAAAAGGTTTGGCTTCCATTATAACGCGTTATGACACGTTCCGGCGAGTTAAAATGTGTTGTTGTGTAAGGTGTGGTATTAAAAAATATTCATGTCACTAACCACGTCAGCAAATAATACTGAGTTGGATATTACATTTCTCGCCACATCAGCATGTTAACTGGTTAATGTTTCATTCGGTTACCTAAAGACTTAAATATTTAAAACTTCACATTTTTGGTACCAAAATAGAATGATAACTGGTTAATTAGTTTTCAACCGGTTACCCGAATACTTAAATGTTTAAAACTTCAAATATTGAGTATCAAAATGAAAGTTTTGAAAGTACGTTACCTAAAATAAAAATCAAATTAAAGTACGTCATTTTTTCATGCAATTTATCCTTTTTTAAAACAAATTTATTAGTAATTTTTTGAAAAATAATGTCTGAGCCCGGGTTCGAACCGGGGACCTCTAGTGTGTGAGACTAGCGTGATAACCGACTACACCACCCAGACCTCTATGTTTTAATTTCTACATAACTATTATTTAGCTTTATTTCTATGAATAAAATATTTGTAAATATTTTAAAAACCCATTTCTCGCTCTCTTCTCTACTAGAAGGATACTCGTACAATACAACGAAATACATCTTGGTTTTAGTATTTCATTTTATTTATTTTTTCTGAGTCGATGTTATAATACGGTTTTATGTGATTTTAAGAAAAACAATGATGTTTTTACTTTGGAATAAAATATAAATATGAAAATAACATAAAAATTTGAAAAGAAAAAAATATTGATAGTAGTACTAAACTAACTATTTAAAATTTCTTCATTTTTTGTAAATTCTTTATTTCATTTTTTTTTAGTTTAATAATATAAATTTTTTTATAAAGATAATAATTAAGTATATTGTTAGAACTCAATGATTATCCTAATTATATTTTAGATTTTTTATACTTAAAATGAGATGTTTATCCCCTATTGATTATGATTATCTACAGTTAGTTACACGAATTCAAACATGAAACTTTAATAAGTTGTACTTACGCATAATTTACTATTTTACTTGTAATATTGAATTTTAAGTAATATGCATCAGTAAATAGTACTTAATGCATAAAAAATGGTTTTTAAAAGTTTTTGTCAAATGCTTTATAATATAACTAGATATAGAGAGAGGGGGGTTTAAAGAGAAAACCGCAACAACAACAAAAAAAAACCGCACAGATGAACGGTATGCACATGTGCATACAAGTAATTTGTAAACAATTTTTTCAGTATGCACATGTGTATACCGCAAGGCGTTCCTCAGTTTTTTTTTCATTTTGTGGGGGGGGGGTTCTTAACCTCGCTATCTATGTATAAATATATAATTCAATAAACACGAATCTAAATTGGGAAAATTTTACAACTTGTCTTTAACTGGTTCGATACATTAAAACAATAATCATTAAGGATTGTTAAACCGGACTGGACCCATAACCGCTCGTTTTAAGGATCATACTAGGTTTAATCAGTTACAGGCCTAGACCCAGCTCTGCATATCTGGCATTAGTATAGACCATCCAGGGTACGTAAGCTATAACCAAATATCGTGCATTATCTTGAAAGATCAGAACATTCTCACATGTTTTAAATGTCGTAAATCAAAATTTATGGAAAACAACCAATACTGTCATAGTTCAAAATATACATACGTGATTAAGCCTTGATTCTTCGTTATCTGTATTAAAAATATAATAGGAAACAATATAATAAAGGCGTAACGTTTTGACCAATAGCTGTAACAAATATGCAATGCAACTCTCATTAATCGAATCTCATAATGAAGATCTAAACCCAAGACACCTGTTTATAGATGCCAAATACAAAGTAAGCCCAAAGCCCAATTACAATACGATGAATGTAACAATATAAAACACTGGCTTTATAAAACTTTCAATATCTTGAGGGTAATACATGATTCTTGTTTATCTGCAAACTATTTTTTAAAGCCACATGGATCGTGAATAGATTGAACAATAGTGACCCATTTTGGATATATGTCATCAACTAAATAATAACTCATATTATAGCAGGAGGAGCATTACCTGTTGCAAGATTTACAAAAACAAATGGGAGAACTCTAGCACGTTAATGTCATTATTGTACCCCCGGTAAACCAAAAAATGTATGTCATATCCAAATATTATAGTCAGCTACAACTTCCAGAAAACTACTTGGAGATAAACGTCAAGGATTTGGAGAAGAAGAAGTTTAAGACCAAACCGAAAGATCTCAAAACGTAACAGAAAACTTTAGTCACTATATGACTAGCGGAAATCAATGGACATTTTAATTTATGTCTTAGCTTTTAAATTCTCCGTTATGAAAACCATATTTATCCGGTATCATGTATGTTAAAAATTATGTTATAAATTTGTATTTTATTACCTTTATGTTAATATTAAATTTCCTTTCTCTTATTTAAAATTTAATTTTCAATATATATATATATATATATATATTAATTTACATAATACATAAACAGTACTTTATACATAAAAAAGAGATTTGCCATGTGAACAGTGACATAGCATACATGTTGTGCTTTTCTTCTCCTCTCTCCTTAACCAGCAAAACCTTTGATGTTCTAGCAACCGGTGGGAATTCAATAGACGACAAATCAGGGTTTTTACCGTATCGTTGGAGATGCTCTAAGACATCACGACTACAGATTTATACAAAAACTTGTTGGTAAAATGTGCAGTCTAAAACGTTTCAGATACTGACATTATAATTAAACTAGAAGCGTACTCGCATAATATAACGAGATATATCTCAATTTATTATCTATGTCGATATAATACAGTTTTTAATGGTTTTGAGAAAATAATGTTTTTATTTTTAAATAAATTATAAATTTAAATATATCATAAAAATTTGAAAAAAAGTTATATACCATCAAATTTACTATTTAAAATTCTGGTTTTTATATAATTTATTTAATTTAATATTTTATTTATAATTTAATATAGATTTAATAACAAAGTAATTTATTTATGGGTTAAATGCATGAAATAGCAACCTATTTTCATAAAATTTCTTATTATAACATTCTACTTTTGTTTTTCTTTATTACAGCAATGTAYTTTCAAATTATTTTTTATTAAGGCATTGTACTTTAAAAAATCTACCCATAATAGCAATGGGTAACCTGTTACCTTTTAAACCGGATAACTCTTTTGACTTTTTTGCTTGTGTGGCTTTAATGAGGTGATGTGGATGACACATCATTTTGATAACTTAACTAAAATTAAAATAAAAACATATTTCAAATTATTATTAGTAATTTTCATTTTTCATTGCTATGATCTAAAAATACATTTTTTTTACTTTTTCTTATTAAGTTGAATTCAAATTAAATATTCTTAGAGTAAAATATTTATTAAAGAAATATGAAACATTATTTTTGAGATCTACTTTGTAAAAAAGGTAAATTTTCCTATTTTATGTTGTTCAAATAAATACATATCTTTTAAAGTTCTCTTTAAAATATTAACGAAATAAATTGTTATCTATAAGTTTTTAATATTGTTATATTAATAAATAATTCAAAAAAATCTAATTAACTTAATATATTTATACGTCAAGTAAAAAGTTTTTGAACAAATATAATATATTCTTTAAAAGATAATATATTTTGGTAAAAAAGAACAATTCTTATTTTCCTTTGTTTCAAAAAAACACATATTTTTTTAAAAATATTAGCGAGATAAGTTGTATTCTACTAGTTTTATTGATATTGGTATATTAATGAATAATTTAGAATTTTTTTAATTCATTTAATTAAATAACATGTAAAATATCTAAAAATTAAAATTAAAAATACAGTGTTTAATAAGAACTAGTAGATGCTATGATAAATAATTTTGAAAGTACAATGATGTAGTAAGAAAGTCACATTACTATAGTACATGTGGACAGCTTACGTGGACAATGAGGTGACATGGAAACCTAGTATAATGGGTCAATTTAAATTAAAAGGTTACCCAATGTTATAATGAGTAAATTTTTCAAAGTACTATATCCTAATAAAAAATAGTTTGAAAGTACATTGTTATAATAAAAAAAACTGAAAGTACAATGCTATAATAAAGAAATTTTTGAAAGTAGCTTACTATTTTGTGCATTTTGCCCTTTATTTATCGTTTAATAATATAATTTTTATAAAGATAATAACTAATGATTATTCTAATTATATTTTAGATTTTTTATATTTCAAAATGAGATGTTCATCCCGTATTTGATTATGTTTATATACAGTTAGTTACACAAATTCAAAAATAAAGCTTTAATAAATTATACTTACGCATAATTTACTTGCGATTTTAAATTTTAGGTAATATGAATCAGTAAACAATACTTTCTGCATAAAAAACTGTTTCCAAGAATTTCTGTCAAATGTTTTATAATACAGTACAGATAATTAAAAATACAATATTTTATTCATTTTAAACCCATATTTATCTATTTCTTGTTTACAAAGAAAGTATAACAAGATATCTTATGATCATTAAGCCAATATTAATCATAATACCATACAAAGAAACATTGTAT